AGGAGGATCACTTGAGCCTTGGAGTTCGAGGCGACAGCGAGCTATGATCCTGCCACTGCACTTTAGTCTAGTGACAGAACAAGACCCTGTCTCTTAAAAACTGGCTCTTGAAAGCAAACCTTTATCACACATGTAGTGTAACTCACTTGAAACAGGACAATTTATGGGTACATAACCCCATAGCAGAATACCATATTGTTAGATCAATACTGATTTTTTAATTAAGAAAAAAGTAAAAGGGTAAAATCAATTTAAAGGATAAGGTAAATTAATTTTATTCCATTGACTTTCTTGTATCATTAAATTAAAACGATAAAATTAAGCTTTAAAAGGAAAAAATACTCACATAACTTCACAGGGCTGATTTTTAAAAACCACAGCAATATACTACTGAAGAAAAGGTACAAAAATTCAAGAAAGCTAGAACTCACAAAATACCATAACCTATATTTAAAATTTATTCACTGTATCCTATTCTCATAGTTAACTTATTAGTCTCTTAAGAAATATTCAAGAAATAAAGCATACTATAAAATTAGAAGAGTTCTTTGCACAAAGTCTAACTCTTGGGGAGACAAGCCAAACTCAATTTTAAAATAAATGTCACAATTCACTGTGAAAAATATTTACCCAGTTAGTGAATGAGTAAAGGACTTTAAAAGAACTCATGAAAACAAGACAGAAAAATATTCAGTCTTATTAGTTACAACTGCAGATATCTACTATAGGTAATTACATTTAGATCTCTAATAAGCAACTCACACCTACCATATTCAAATCTGAACTCTTAATTCCTAAGCCGTCTCCAAATCTATTCCCCATTCCCATCATCCCAACTAAATAAATGGCTCCTCCTATTATCTAGTTATGAGTTGGCAAACTTTTTCTGGAAAGGCCCGTAAAATAATTTTAGGCTTTGCAGACCATACAATCTATAATAACTACTCAGTGATGCTTCTGCAGTGGGAAAACAGCCACAGTTAAGTATCAGACTAGGTTCAAATCAAGGTATTCTATCGCCTGAGGCCAGGAGTTTAAGACCAACCCGGGCAATAGTGGGACCCCGTCCCTAAAAAAATTTAAAAATTAGGCAGTTGTGGTGGTGTGAGCCTGTAGTCTCTCCCTCCCCTGACTCCTCCCCACAAGAAAGGCACTCTGGCTCCATAGCCCAGCTTTTAACTATATTCTCCAAACAAAAGTGCTTTTAGCAAGCCTACGTTGGCCTTGAACTCACAAACCCTGGCTTATAATACTAATGTTTTATCACTTTGAATATACTATAGAATTGCACATATTTGAAAATTAGAACTAGGTTAAATTCACACACCCACATGAACAGAGAGTATAGAAACAAACATGGAAAAACAAAAACATGATTTATTAGGTGGTGGGTTCATTTTCATTTTGTTAAATATTACTGAGACAATAAAATAAGAAAATAGGGGAGAAAGGGCAATATGCCAAAACGAGTGACAAAAATAATGAAGTATGGCAAAGGTCTTTGGCAAGTCACAGCCCCTGTGAGTCTTCACGTTGTCTATCTATAAAATGGGTTAGTATGGGGTTTCACTGAAGTAATGTACACAAAAGCATAAAACTGCCAGGAATACAGAAGGCACTAAATAAACAAATGTTGGATAGAAATCTTAGGCGGTAGGGAAATGACGAGAAGATTAGCACAGAAAAGGAATGGTCTGGAAGAGCACTGGCTGGGAACAATTGATGGGTATAAATTAAAAGTTGAAATAGATAAAGAAGAGTCTGTAGCAAAGAGAAGAAAAAAATTACTCACCATCATTTAGGGCTTCAATGGCTGCAACTTTCTTATCATTTGCCTGATCCATCATCTCCTCGGTTATCTAGAGGGAAAATGAAAGTCAACTTAGTAGTAGTAGCGAAAGCAACAGAGGGAGAATCAATTTGGAGAGTCTTAGGGATGAGCATGAGGTAGTCACAACATCCATTTTCGTTCACTCTTCTCTAGTCTCCAGAGAACAAAGAGGATAATTATGATAACTATTGAGAATACAGAATGTGTTTTAACCTTTTACACTTAATAAATTTCACTCCCTACACTCTGCCCTAAACATGACCTTCATAATAAATCCAATCTCCTCAGAAAGGAGTAATTCTTTTTAGGCTTGAATTTTCAGAAGAGAAAGATCTCATTCCTTTGTTTTTATAAACATCTATTGAGCACTTAGAACACTGTACAAGATGCTGACAGCACAAAGATGTAAGAACAAAAATTTAAAATAAACATCCTACCTCAAATCAAAAGTTCAGAAGCAATTCCTTTAATTACAGAAAAAAAATCCACTATACCAATACCACTGTGTAAAATGGCAGTGCTGGCTAATTCATGAAAAAAATAATTTGGTAGGTTTAAAAACTGGATGGAAATTAGCAAACTGTCTTTACATTTGGCTAGAAAATCCAATGGAAATGATGACAAATTATTAGATCTAGTAAGATAATTCAATTAAGCTGTCAGACACAAGAGCAACATAAAGAAAAATCAAAAACCAGAGTTCCGCCACACCACCAAAAATCATTTATAAAGCACTATTTCTAAGAACCACACAAGACTTCCACAGAAGGAAAAAGTAAAATTCTATTAAAAGATAGAAAAGACAACTTCAAGAAATTTTGACACACATTCCCCATATTCATAGAAAGAGATTATTTTAAATGTTCCAAATCTACCCCAAGTTACTCAATAAATTCAAAGCAATTCCAACAAAAGTTTCTATAATTTTTTTTTTGAGATGGGGTATTGCTCTGTCACCCAAGATAGAGTACAGTGGCATCATCATAGCTCACTGCAACCTCAAACTCCTGGACTCAAGTGAACCTCCTGCCTCAGCCTCCCAAGTAGCTGGGCTACAGGTGCATACCACCATGCCTTATTTTTCTACTTTTGGTAGAGACGGGGTCTTGCTCTTGCTTAGGCAGGTCTTGAACTCCTGACTTCAAGCAATTCCCCAACCTCAGCATTCCTAAGTGCTAGGATTACAGGCATGAGCCACTGTGCCTGGCCCCTACGAATTTTTGACAAACTTAACTATCTATCTATTTATTTATTTATGAGACAGGGTTTTGCTCTGTCACCCAGGCTGGAGTGCAGTGGCATGATGACAGCTCACTGCAGCCTCCAATGCCTGGGCCCAAGTGATCCTCCACCTTAGCCTCCTCAGTAGCTGGCACTACAGGTACATGCCAGACGCCTGGCTAATTTTTTTAAAAATTTTTTGTAGGGACAGGGCCTCCCCTATGTTGCCCAGGGTAGCCTCAAGTGATCCACCTGCCTCGGCCTCCCAAGTGCGGGGATTACAGACATGAGCCACTGTGCCCAGTGTCAAAACTGTTTTTTAAAAGACTGGAAGAAACAGTTTACCAGATAGTAAGACATCCTACAAAGCCAGGATAATTTTAACAGATTAATAAATTAAAAAAAAAAGACTTCTGTTTATAGAAATTACGGTACACATGAAACCATGAACAAGTCTAAAAACGATCTTTTAAAAGCAACCTTTGTCTTAAGAAAGTGGAACTAGGCC